AGATCTGAGTTGGAAGAAATGCAGCCAGAGTGCTCCTTGGAGTCCAGAATGGCTAGACTTCGCCTCTTACACTTATGACATATTGTCTGGAGGGACCAGTCACTGGAGAAATATATTATGTTTGGTAAGGTGTAGGGTCAGAGAAAAAGAGGAAGACCCCCAATGAGATGCACTGGCAAAGTGGCAGCATCAATAGGCTCAAGTGTGGCAACAGTGGTGAGGTTGTCCCAGGACCAGGCAGTGTTTTGTTCTGTTGTGCATACGGTTGCTATGAGTCCGTACCAACTCGATGTCACTTAACAACAACAATTAGTTGAAGGTGAAATGAATGAAGATTGGGAAAAAAGGTAACAAAAGTAGATTATGCATGGTAAAGAATAGGAGGTCTTGGGATAGTTCAATAATAATGGAAGCTATCAGCATTTCTCTGATGCTACTGATGGTAAACATTACAGATTTCAGACACTATTAGGGCCCTATATTTTGAATTCCAGTTAGAAATAAGCACATCAATAGTGAGGACTGTTAGAATTAATATTAATTTTATATTTGTGTTTGAAGATGTCTGAATTATTATAACATTTTACCGGGAGTGGCTTATTTGAAACCTTGAATACAAGCAAGTGGATAAAATCCATCATGTGCCTGCTTCTTCTGGTCTGTGGGGTGTCTCCCTTTTAATGCCAGACCCCAAGGGGAGATAGTGCTGGTAGCCTGGAAAGGCAGCACTGCTATCAGAGAAGCCAGGCTCTACCAGGCAGCATGGCCTCAGGCCTTCCAGGAGAAAGGCTGAGGGAGGAGGCTAGATGCCCTGTGTGCCTGGACTTTCTGCAGGACCCTGTCAGCGTCAACTGTGGCCACAGCTTCTGCTTCAAGTGCATTTCTGAGTTCTGCGAGAAGTCAGATAGCGCCCAGGGCGGCATCTATGCCTGTCCCCAGTGCCGGAGCCCCTTTGGCCTGGAGAGCTTCCGTCCCAACCGACAGCTGGCCAGCCTGGTGGAAAGTGTGCGGCAACTCGGGCTGGGTGAGGGGCCGCCCGGCGGGTGCCTCTGCCTGCGTCATGGCGAGGAGCTGAGCAGGTTCTGCGAAGAGGACCAGGTGGCGCTATGTTGGATCTGTGATACCACCCCTGAGCACAGAAACCACTGCACGAGGCCCCTGCAGGAGGCTGCCCGGTGTTACCAGGTGAGAGTCTCTAACTAGTGAGCTCCAGGTAGAGGAAGAGTCAGACTAAGTAAGGATCTGTATATACTGCTTTTACAGAGCAGCAGTATGAGCCAAAGGTGTTTCTGGATGGCCCACATATCCAAATAAAAACAGCCAGATCTCCTGGGCTGTCTTCTCCCTATCCTCTGACAATCCACACTCAGTTCAGAGACTTTGTGGCTTTGCTTGAGATATTTTATGTTTAGGATCCCTGTTCAGAAGGCCAAATCCACATATCTTTTGAGACTGCCCATCTCCTCCATGAAGTCATCACTGCTGGTTTTGTGCTGTTAACTCCTTCTAAATCTTATGAGCTGGATTCAACAGTCTTGCTGTGGTTCAAAATAGACTCCAAGGCAAGAAGTTCGTTGTTGCTGTTATTGTTTGTTTTTTAATAGTAAATAAATTTTTTATAAACTTTTAGGTGTCCTAGGGTGCTAAGTTACACTTCTTTTAATCTAGTTTCAGCCAATCATGATTTACAGTAAAATTAGTCTAAATACTATTATTCCCAAACACACTGCACATGCCTTTTTCATCTCATTGCATTTACTCACGATTTCTTCTATTTGAGTAGTCTTTCTTCCCTCTGTAAGTGTCGAAGTGCTTTATTCTTTGCAAACACCAAAGAAAATGCCACCTTTACCATCTTGCTGCCTGTATAAATTCTGTTATTTTATGTCTATCATTATGCATAGCATCAATCTTTTTTTTAACACACAATTTTTGTGTAGGACAAACTGAATGATTTGGAAGATAGAGGTTTTCTGAAGTTCAGTTTGTTTTTTCCTACTAAAAAATTTTGATTGTGTATCTTTGTGAATGTTGTCTGTAAACAAATGTGCTTACCTTAAACTGGGATCCTAGGCATGAAAGTAGATTTAGCTTCCATTGTATTTGTTTTTCACCTTTTGAAATATTTACCAACAATATCTATTTTTCATTTTAAAAAATGTTAACTTACACGAATTCTTCTGTACACTCAAAATACTTTATTTCTTAGTATAAATTAATACATATTTTGAGAAGTTGAAATTCTCTTTAACCTATCACCAAGAAACATTTCTTCTATTAAGCATTTTCATTGACGTCTACATAATTTGAAAAAAAATATTGCAAGTTATTTTCCCCACAATAATGTCAAATTATGTACAGCATATTTACTTAAATAAATTGATTCTATGATTTTGGGCATTTCATGCCATTGAATCTTCAGCAATACCTTATTTTAATTCAGTCTTTTTGATATAAAAGTACCACACATTTTAGTTAACTGCAGTATAGATATTTTGAATAATGTTTTACAATGAACACACTTGCAATTATTTGGTTATATCCTGGCATTATCATTATGTATGTTTAGTTTAACTATTAATGCTAGACATGTATCATTATCAAATGTTTAGTTTACCTACTAATGCTAGACATTTTTCTATGCTTTGTAGGTACAATTTTAACTGTTTCTTTCATTTCCTGTAACATATAGTTAACATTAGATACTTAGATAAGGTTATCTGTAAGGATTTCAGTGTATCTTCTCACACAGGTAAAGCTCCAAACAGCCCTGGGCCTATTGAGGAAAGAAATGGAGGATGCCTTGACTCAGGAGGCCAATGTGGGGAAGAAGACTATCATCTGGAAGGTAAGAGCATGTGGAGACTCCTCGGCAATTGGAAGGATGCCATTCTTGCTTGGTTTTCCCCACTCCAAAGCTACTGCTTAAAAAAGGATCTCGGTGTCATTCAGGTTCACCCCTCCCCCCAATCCCTTCCAATTATATTCTTCATCTGTTTTCTTCCTTTTAACTATATTGCCACTGCCAAAATATAAATACATAGCTTTACTGGGTTTGTTTTAACTGTAAATCTCACTGCTTTATTTAACCTTAACACCTAGAACAGAGCCTCATATTGTTACTACTATTTTGCAAAACTATTTATTGTATGTATGAAATAATGAGTATTTTATTACATTTGACAAATGATGTACAACTAATAGTGATCATGATATATACAGATTGATTGTCAAGGAAAGCGCTTACAATTGCAGAGTCTCCCTATATATATTTATATCATAGAGTCTTGGTGTGGAGCTGCTGGATCATGTACTGGACCATGAAGTCAGTTTAGAGTGCAAGGCAAACAGTTCAAACTCACCAACCACTCCCCAGAAACCCTGTACAGGGTCACTTTGAGTAGGAATCAACTCAACAGCACTTAACAACAACAATAATAGAGACATATGTCAGTGTTACACTTAAGACATAAGTAGAATGCAAGAATGCTTACATTCGTACAATGCATAGGCAAAATGTCAATAGTGCTAAGATTTAATACGTATATATTAAAATACTTAGCTGTTAACTAAAAGGTTGGAGGCTTATACATCTAGAGGAATACAGAAAGGTGAAAAATCATTTACTGAAAATCCTATAGTGTAGGGTTCTATTCTGACACATGGGGCCACCCTTGGCTACAAAGTACTAAATGGCAACTGATTTGATTTGGGGGGGTGTGTATATGTGTGTACGTATACATGATTCTACAATACATATATAGGTGTGGTACTGTAAGATAAGCAGTATATTGTTAAACATAGTACATTGCTAAACACAACACACAATACATTGGAGGTCCAAATCTACCAGTTGCTTCTCAGAAATACTATACAGGGTTACTGTGTGTCAGAATTGACTCCCTGGCACTTAATAACAACAAAAGAAGCTGTATATAATTTCATATATTTATAGAATGTATAATATAATATTAATAATATATGTAGAGTATATACAATATTTGATCTTTATCATTCTCCAAATACCTCTTCTTTTCTGAGAATTTTCTGTATTTCATGCATTTTTAAGTTTTTCTCTTTTAAAAATGCCCCTTATATCCTCACATGCATGTGCAAAACATTTTGCTACATTTTTCTTCTGGAATACGTCTTATTTGTTTCCAGTTAAATATTGATTGACAAGTTTTTGGACTTTTTAAGTCACTTGTGGTCATTCTTGGCTTCACGACAGATTTACTGAATCCTGGTATTGTTGTTGTTAAGTGCCCTCATGTCAGTCCCAACTCATAGTTACCCTATATAAGGTTTCCAAAGAGTGGCAGGTGAGATTGAACCACCAACCTTACAGTTCAAACTGACCTCACAGTCCAGTGCATTAACCCACAGTGCCACACCAGGACTCCTACTAAATCCTAGTGAGGTGCTAAAGGATAAGCAGTGGACCAATTGCAAGGCCAGTTGTTGAAAATTAACAGCTAATCCTCAGAAACTCTATACAGGCTCAATCTGGGTCAGAACTGACTCAAAGACACTTTAAAACAACATGTCCAAGATCTAGGTTCCTGCATTTTTTAAACTCTTCATTTACTATTTTAATGTAGAGATGAGATTAAGAATTTTGTGTAAACCAATTAACTGCATGATCTTTACATTCAGAATGTATCCATGTGAGCCAAATGAAATAAACATGAGTCTTGATAAAAATGAATTCTGAATTATAATAAAGGTTTTATCATTTCTGTGAGAGCAACTAAAAGAGTGTTTTTACTAGGCTTCCAGATTAATTTTTTTTTTAATGTTTAATCATGTCTTTGTAATTAGTGGTAGCTACATGAAAGTTATTTTAATAATACATTTGCATTAGTTTTATCGGTGCTCTTGTTAGGTGATACCCAGTCGGTTCTAACTCAGAGACTTATGCACAACAGAATGAAGCTCACAATGATTGTTGCACCCAAGCCCATTGCTGCTGGCATTGTGACAATCCATCTCCTTGGGGTTCTTCCTGTTTTTGCTGGCTTTTCACTTAACCAAGCATGAAGCCCTTTTCCAGGGACTGATCCTCCCTGATAATATATCTGAAATAGAAGAGATAAAAGTCTCACCGTCTTGGCTTCTATAGAGTATTCTGACTGTACTTCAAAGCAGACCTGGTTGTTCTTGCAGTCCATGTGCTTTTTAATATTCTTGTCCAACACCATCATTCAAATACATCAGTTCTTCTACAGTCTTCCTTATTCATTGTCCATCTTCCACATGCATATGAGTTTATTGAAAAGACCATGGCTTGGGTCAGGTGCACTTTAGTCTTCAAACTGACTACTTTGCTTTTGAACACATTGAAGAGTCTTGTGTAGCAAATTTACCTAATGTAATCTGTCATTTGATTTTTTTTTTAACTGCTGCTTAGATTAATGTTGATGGTGGATCCAAGCAAAATGAAGTCTTTGGCAACTGCAAACTCTTCTCCACTTATCATGATGTTGTTTATTGGTCTAGTGGTGAGGGTTTTTGTTTTCTTTACATTGAGATGTAACCCATACTGAAAGCTGTGAGCTTTGATATTCATCAGTATTTTAAGTCCTCTTTGCTTTCATTAAGTAAGGTTGTATCATCTATATATTGCAAATTGTTAGTCTCCCTCCAATCCTGATGCCATGATCTTTTACATATAATGCAGCTTAAATTATTTGCTCAGCATACAGATTGAATAAATATGGTTAAAAAAAAACCAAAATCCTGGTGCACACCTTTCTTGATTTTAAACCAGTTAGTGTCCCTTTGTTCTCTTAGAATAGCTGTCTTTTAGTCTATGTACAGGTTTCTTATAAGCACAATTAAGTGTTCTGGAATATTCATTCTACACAATGCTATCTATAGCTTGTCATGATCCACACAGTCAAAACCATTTGCAGAGTCCATAACATACAGGTAAGCATCTTTCTGGTAATCCATGCTTTCAGCCAAGATATATCTGATGTCAGCAATGGTATCCCTTGTTCCACATTGTCATCTGAATCTGGTTGAGCTCTTGCGTTTCCCTGTCATTGTGCTGTGACCGTAATTTTGAATGATTGTTAGCAAAATTTTACTTGCATATAATAGTAATGATTTTGTCCAATGATTTCCGCATTCTGTTGACTCACCTTTCTTTGGAATGAGCACAAATATGAATTTCTTCCAATCAGTTGGCCTAATAGCTATCTTCCAAATTTCTTGTTATAGATGAGTGAATGCATACAGTGCTAAAATATTTCAGTTTGCATTCCCTCAGTTCTCATAGCTTTTTGCTTTGCAAATACCTTCACTGCACCTTGAACTTCTTCCTTCAGTATCATTAACTCTTGATCATAAGCAACCTCTTGTAAGGGTTCAACATCAACCATTTATTTTTGGTACAGTGATATTGTGTATTCCTTCCATCTTCTTTTGATGCTTTCTGCATAATTCTGTATTTTGCCAGGTTTTTTTTTGTTGTCGTTGTTAAGTGCTGTTAAGTCAGTTCTGACCCATAGCGACCCTGTATAGGGTTTCTGAGAAGTGGTTAGTAAGGTTGAACCGCTAATCTTGCAGTCAAACCGAATTTGCAGTCCAACACATTAACCCACAGCACTATACCAGAACTTCATTTTTGAGCATTCTATTATAAAATTAAACTTTGTCTTCTAAAGCTACAGTCTGAATTTTTCTGCTCAGCTCTTTACCTCCTCATTTCTTCTATTTGCTTTAGCATCTCTACACTGGAAAGCAAGCTTCAGAGTCTCTTCTTACATCCATTTTGATCTTTTCCTTCTTTCTTGTCTTTTTAATGACCTTCTGATTTCTTCCTGTATGATATTCTTGGTGTCATTCCACAACTCTTCTTGTGTTTGGTCATTAATGTCTAATGCATCAAATCTGTTTTTGAGATGATCTCTACATTCAGGTGGGCTATGTACTAAGTCATATTTTGGCTTTTGTGGACTTGTTTTCATTTTGTCTAGCTTTAGCTTAAACTTGCAAATGAGAAATTGATGGTCTTTTCCAAAGTCTTCCTTGGGATTGGTTTGGATGAGGTTATGGATCTTTAAAAAAAAAAAAAAATGTCCAAGGAGCCCAGTGGCTTTAAGGGCTATCTGTGGGCCACTGAAATTGAAGGCAGAAATGTCAGCTCAGGAGGTTATAGAAGTTCTTTGTGTGGATTACACAGGGGTTGTTGCTGTTGTTGCTGTTAAGTGCCATCTAGTTGGTTCTAATCCATAGTGACCCTGTATACCATTTCCAAGGAGTGGCTGGCGAGTTTGACCCACCAACCTTTCAGTTCAAACTAACCTTGAAATTGAGTGCTTATCCTACAGCACCACATAAGGACTCCTACATAGGGATATTCTTGATAAATTTTCTCAAAGGACACAGGACAAACATGAGAACATTCATGAAAAAGTTTTAAGATCAAAAGCTGGATTATAGAAAATAATTCCAGGAAAGTTACACTGACCTATTATTTATTTATTTATTTTTATATCATGAAAATGTGCCCACTTATATTTCAGGATAGCAAAGCTGTACAATAAAAATTTATTTTGTGAAGCTTTTACTATCCACCGTACAGTTCTGACTTTGCCCTTCAGTTTTCGTTTTGTAACCAACCCTCAAAGTGTATTTTAAAAGAACACGACTTGAGCCCCTTAAGGATGTGAAAACGACAAGTTAAAGCAGTCAGAATTTTTCATAGAAGAGTTAGAAAGATGGAAAAAAATGCCTTCATAAGTGCATATACCTAGATGGAGAATGTGTGGACAAACAATAGCTTCCTATTTTAATATTTTTGTTTAATCTCTGTTCTCATGATTCTGTAGTGATGCTCTT